AGTGTAAAGGAGTCCCCCCGCCTGGAAATCGAGTTTCGAGTTCGTGCTCGTGCCGTGCGTGCGGGCGAGGCGAAGCTGCGTGGGCCAGCGAGAGGAATTCACCCTGCTGTCGCTAGGGGTCCGCCAACACAAATGTTTCCCCCCCCTGCCTTGTCAAGCGGTAGCCCACGTTGTCCCGTCGGTTGCCCGTCGGTTGCCCGCCGGTAGCCCACGTTGTCCTGTTGGTTGCCCGTCGGTGCACCCATCGTCGACTGGGACGTCGTGGGCTGAGTGCCGCGTCGCGCAGCGGCAAACCGAACGACACAAGTCGCCCAAGCGAAGGAACAAACAAAAATCCGCCACGTCATCTACACCATCATCGCCCATCAGCACCACGTTCATCACAGTTGTCGTCATGAGCCGCCCCCCTCCCCCCACCCCCCCACAACCTCCTTATCACCCGCAGGGTGGTCGTACAGGTATGAAAACCTGCCCTGTAGTCAAAAAGTCGTCTGGGGATGATTTTAGGAGTATTTTGTTTTCAGACTATGTTGGCTTATCTTTTGAGTGTTCCAACTTTTTCGCCCAACTCCACCTCACTAACTCCGCCGTGCGGGGGGCTCAAACCCAGACGGGGGTCGACTGGCGCACGGTGCGCTGTGTCGACGATCTCGGGGGGGATCAGTGCCAGGGCGAGCCTGATAGCCCGCCATTTTCGGTTCCCCCGCGGCTGAGAAGGAAAAACGTAAACGTTTGACCAATGCGGTGCCCAGCCCCGCTTGGCGTTCGGCCTTCGCTTGTGATTCCGTGGTGTTCAATCGTGGCCCACCGGTTCTCCTCATCGGTGTTAGGGGCACTGCTATTTTCACAATCGCTACGCCAAACAGTCATGTTGCATTGTCGTCGAGAGTACGCGCGTACACATACGTGAGTTCAGTGCAATGTTCGAACTGGTTCGTGGGCGCTCATGACTGTCTGTCGCGCCCCGCTGTCTGGCGTCTGGTCTTGCCATGGACGTCCGTTCCGTTTGGTCGCGCCATGAATTGTTCAGTCTGGTCTGGCCGTTTCGTCCGCCCGGTCTGGCCAGTGACGCCACACATAATTTGGTAAGACAACGGAAGTAACATTTTTTTGTGTCTTACGTGTGTAACATTAGTTTTTGTGTTTCGCATGAATTTCCCTGCGGCTGTTTTTTGTGATTGATGTGTTCCTCTTCTTGTTTGTCAGTGACTTTACCTCTCTCTCTCTCTATATATGTATATATCCATCCTGCGCTTTTTGCATGTTTTTATCTGGTAGCTGTCTCCCTGCATTTGCGCGCGTGTTTTTGTTTCTTGCTGTTCAGGGATCATTGTAGGAACGCATGTTGTTTCTTCAGAGGGCATCACCACGGATCGCGATGGATGTTGTCGAGTGGACGAGACAGATATGCACATGAAACCCATGTGCGTCCAGCCTTCAGGACAAAGCGCTGCACGCGCATTCTGGCCGCGCGCTGGCCGCGTAGGAACCGACGCTGACCTTTTCAAACAACATGTTCGTCGCAGTGCGGCATGTCATCGTTGCCCCCGCATTCACCACCAAACCATTTCGCACTTTCAAGGAAATGCACGCTCAGCATTTGGTGAGGCGGCTGGGGCACCCGACCGTTTCGGCGGTGCCGCCTTTGCTAAGGCCGGGGTTTGGGCAAACTGCGTAGCAGTTGTGCGTGTGCGTGTAGCGTGCGCACAAGCGTTCGCGCGCCTACCGCCGATCGCACGTTCTTGCCTGTCGGGCGCGGGTCGGGTTCAAACCAGTCCAAAGGCAGGACCTCCGCGTTAATTACGTTCACCCGAGGTGCTTCACAGGTAACCTATCACCTGTTCCGCATTGGGCCCTGGTCTGCGTGTGCGTAGAAATCTGCATGGCATATTCATACCTCAGCCAGGATTGGACATGAGGCAGCTCCAATGAGAACCCTGCCCATGGGAGCTGACGGGGAAAGGGACGAAGAGACACATGTAGAGAAACGAAACGGGCAACAGGGGTGAACAGAGAGATCTGTGGGAGCAAGGGGCTGACCTTGGAGGGCCTCGTCGCGCCATCCCTGGGGCCCGCGCTGGGGCGAGGGAAGGAGGAGGAGGAGGAGGAGGAGGAGGAGGAGGAGGAGGAGGAGGAGGAGGAGGAGGAGGGGGAGGAGGAAGAGGAGGAGGAGGATGAGGAGGAGGAGGAGGAGGAGGAGGAGGGAGGAGGAGGAGGAGGAGGAGGAGGAGAAAGACCACGACGACGAGGAAGAAAAGGAGCAGGAACAGGACGACGATGAGGGCAAGGACGAGGACGAGGCGAGGAGGAGGAGGAGGAAGAGGAGAAGGAGGAAGATGAGGAGGAGGACAACGAGGACTGTGACAGCGCCCTCAACTCCGCCTCATGGAGCCCTCTTGGGACTCTTCTGGGGGATCGTGGGGTCCACTTGGGGCTCTCTTGGAGGGTCTTGGGGCCTTCTTGGGGCCCTCTTGGAGCCCTCTTGGCGTTCCCTTGGGAGCCCCGGAGGTCCTCTTGGGGCCATCTTGGAGGCAACCGATCAAAATGAGGGAGGGGTCCTCGATTTGCCCCCCCCGCCCCCCCCCCTCCCCCCATGCCCCCTCCCCCCCATGGGACCATCGAGGTCGCCCTTTGGGGCGCTCTTGATGTGCTCTTGGGACGCTGTTGGGCCGATCTTGGGCGCTCTTGGGGCCGTTTTGGATGCCTCTTGGGCCCCTCTTGGGGCTCTCTTGGGCTATCTTGGGATACTCTTCTGGCTTTAAAGCGCGTCGGAAGCGATAAGACGAGAGGGCAATAGTCATTGATTTCCTTTCTAGGGTTTTGAAGGATTTTGGCCTCTTGGGGGGGGGTCCTGGCGGGGCTTCGAAAGCACTTGGAACGTCTTGTGGCCCTCGCCGGGCCTCTTGGAGGCATGCCGGAAGCTATACTGTATTGAACCATCGTCGGCTATCTTGAGCCGCCTTGGGGACCATCTTGGAGCATCGGAGGCCCTTTTGGAGCCATCTTGGACGAACAGGGACCCTTGGCCACCTCGCGCCCTCCGCCAAAAAAACCTCAGGGAGAGGAGGGGAAGGGTACCCCTTTCCAAAGACGGTTTTTGGAAGATGAAAGAACTCGTTAGACCACCTTAGCCCAAAGGGCTGAGGTGGGACTGCGGCCCCAGGGGGCGGGACCACATTCGGTCCCCCAGCCATTTGGGCACACCCCTCAAACGTTTCGTGGCCCCATAGGAAGTTCAAATGAAGGCCCAGGGGTGGGGACCACATTCGGTGCCCCTGCGATTTCGGCACGCCCCTCGCACGTTTCGTGTCCCCGGAGGGAGCTCCACCGAAGGCCCCATGGGGGAGTGCCCTATGCGGTCCTCCAGCCCACGTCGGCTCACCCCTCACACGTTTCGTGGCTCCACAGGGAGCTCCAGCTAAGGCTCAGTGGCACAGCTCGCATGCGTCCCCAGGCCCATTTCGGCACACCCCTCACACGCTTCGTGGCCCCATGGAGCTGCACCGAAGGAGGGGCAGCGCACGCATGCGTCCCGAGCCAATTTCGGCACACCCCTCACACGTTTCGTGTCCCCATAAGGGGGTCCCACCCGGGGCTCCAGTGGCAGCGCCTGCATGCGTCCCCAAGGCCCACTCTGGAGCACCCCTCACATGTTTCGTGGCCCCATGGGGAATTCCACCGAAGGACCCACTGGCAGGGCCCGCATGCGCCCCCAGGCCCATTTCTGCACACCCATCACACGCTTCGTGGCCCCACAGGGAGCTCCACTGAAGGCGACATTCACAAGTCTGGTGCTCACAGCTGCAGATGGTTTGGGTCTTTCATCGAAAACAATTGTTTGTTTGTTTGTTTGGTAGGTTTTTAGTCAATCGTTGTGCGCGCACAAAAACCATACACGCAGACGCGCTAGCACACGTAAGCGTATGAACGCATACGCACATGTATGCATATGTACTTGCTCAGATGCGCATACACACGCATGCGCGCGGATACATGCATGTGCGCGGCTTGCCAATATTGGGCATGGCCACTCTCACTCAAGCCTTGGGTGATACCTTCCAGATGCAAGAACTCGCTCATATCCCATCGACTTCTTGACTCTAGCCAATATGTTAGCCAGCTTGGATCTAAAGCAGTGGTTCCTTCCAATATATACGGTGCAATCTAGATAGTGCAATCAATGTGGTACAATCTAGGTGGTGCAATTCACGCGGTGCAATCTATCTGTTGTAACCACCGCCAAGCAATACAAAGCAATGCAAAGCAATGTAAAGCGACGTGAAGCAATAGAAGGCATCGTAAAGCATTGCAGAGCAATGCGAAGCAATGCAAATCAATGCGACACAATGCAAAGCAATGCAAATCAATGGAATGCAATGCAGCGCAACTCAACACAAGCAATGCAAAGCAATGCAATGCGAAGCAGTGCAAAGCAATGCAAAGCAAGGCAACGCAAGGCAACGCAATGCAAAGGAATTCACATCAATGCGTGCAAAGCAAGCCAAACAACGCAGTGCAAACCAACGGCATGCAATGCAAGTTAACGCAGCGTTGTGCAAAGTAGCGCAGGCCGAGACGGCGACAGGGCGGCGACGGGGACCACACAGCCGCCAGACCGCGACGGGCAGGTCCAGAGCGACGGGGCGGCGACGAGGCGACCACATAGCCGCCAGACCGCGACGGGCAGGCCCAGAGCGACGGGCGGCGACGAGGCGGCGACGGGGCGGCGACGGCGACCACGTAGCCGCCGGATCGACGGGCGGGCCCCAGCTCGTTGGAGGGAAGCGAGAACTCCCGAGTGCAAGCGCTCCTCGTGGACACAATTTGGCCACTGGAGGGTCCTGGAGCAGCCTTCCTTTCCGGAGCTCCTGTGGGGAACCAGGTCCAGGAGGGACTGCTTCAACAGGGGTAGGATTCGGCAGCTTTTTTTTTTGGGGGGGGGGGGGGAAATTGCGCGCAGACGGCCCCCAGGGGTAGTCCTGGCTGGCCTCCAGAGGCCCCAAAGCCAGGGTGGTCATGCCACTCCACACCCCAGGGCTCTCTGCTGGATGCGATGCAGGCTCGTTGAGGCCGTCCCAGACTGCCGTGGGGGCCTGCCGAGGCCAGCCGCGATTGCCTCCAGATGCGACCTCTGCCCAACCAGCAGCCTTACCGGTGGGCTGCGTGCTGTTTCGAAGCGATCGGCGCTTGGCCTCAGGAATGGCGCTGCTCCGGCTGCTTCGGGACGGGCGTTGCCTCGGTGGGCCCCACAGCGCAGGGGCAGCTTCGGTCCACAGCTGATGCCTTGATCCCCCTGGTGGAGCCCAACAGTGTCTTGGTCTGCCCGCGGCCAGCAGTGCGCCCCAGAGCGCGGATGCTGCTCTGGAGGCGCCCGTGCCCTCTCCTCCTCCTCGCGCTCCTCCCTCTCCTCCCCTCCTCCTCGCTCTCCTCCTCCTCCTCCTTCTCCTCCTCCTCCTCCTCTTCCTCCTCCCCCTCCTCCTCCTCCTCCTCCTCCTTCTCCTCCTCCTCCTCCTCCTTCTCCCCTCTTCCTCGATCCCCTCCTCCCCTCGCCCGTGCCCTTCCTCCTTCTCTTTCCTTCACCCCTCCTCGCCCACCTGGAGGGCCGCTTCGCGGGGCCAGGGCACGGGGGAAGACGACGAGGCCGCTCGGACGGAGCTGGCCGTGCCCTTCTGAGCAGGTCCCGAGACGTGCCGGCAGCAGTGGCCCCACGTGCGACGCCTCCTCCTCACGCAGTCGATTTTGATCAGTAGGTCGACCCTTCTAAATCAGGAGGAGGAGGAGGAGGAGGAGGAGGAGGGGGAGGAGGAGGAGGAGGAGGAGGAGGAGGAGGAGGAGGAGGAGGAGGAGGAGGTGGAGGAGGAGGAGGAGGAGGTGGAGGAGGAGGAGGGGGAGGAGGAGGAGGAGGATGAGGAGGAGGAGGAGGAATAATATGGCTACTACTAATAAGAAAAATAACCATACAACTAAGACGAATCATACTATCAATACTTAAAAATGAGAAGAAGAACACTACGATCATAACATGAAGAACATCAAGAAGCAGAGGATGAGGAGGAGGAGGAGGAGGAGGCGAAGGAGGAGGAGGAGTTGTGCCTTGTGTTCTACGTCCCATGCCTGCTGCGTTCCCGGGGCGGCCGCCCGTCGTGCTCTCCTCGCGGCGCCCGGAGGTCTGGGCAGGAGGGCGCCGAGGGGGGAGACGCGCATCCTTTCTTTCATTCCGTGTACGTGTGGGCTGTTTGTCTGCCGGTTGCGCTTCAGCTCTTGGCGTCGAGCCACACTCCGCGGGATGATTGGCCGCCGCATTTAGGCTTTGCAGTGCCTCCCTTTCCCCAACACCACCAGCACCACCAATCTGCATGGCCGTGGTTGGATTTCCATCTTGGCGCCTTCGATTAAGTTCGTTCGCAATTGGCACCTCCACCTGCCGTCCGCATCAGATGATCTTCTGCGCCGCCGTCTGAAAACAAAACGGGTAGTTTTTCGTTTTGTTCAACCCGTGGGTCCCAGGGTTTTCCACCGCTATCCCCGAGACTAGTACTTCGTCCCAGGCGGTTTCTTGACGTGGGGATTTGGGGGCCGAGACTGAGGAAGAGCGCCAGCGCTGCGAACATCACACCTCAGAGTCTTCGGAGGATTTGGAAGTCTCAGGTCCCCAGAGGTCTCTGGATGCCCCCCAGAGGCCTTTGCAGTCCGTAAGCCCCAACGGGCCGTGCGCATCCTTATCGTCAATCCTCGACCCTTGAGCCTCGACGTCGCCTGCTCCGTGGTTCATGTCGTATTTCAGCTGCAGCAGTCCTGCTCTTTGTGCTGCGCTGTTGCTCATGACAGCTCCAGGCCCTCTCGCTTTCCCATCGCGCTGGCATCTCGTCCTCCGCACAGCCCCTGCGCGGCGCGGGCTTCCCTTTCTGCTTCGCGTTGGGTCGTCGTTTCGTTCCAGTGAGAGTCACCGACCGCGTTCTACTATTCGCGAAGTGCCTACTCGCAAACGCCCGCCCACAAAAGCATGCACTCCTCCATGCAATGCATGGTAAACCACCCGTGGCAGATCCGGGCCATTTGCGAGTAGTTCCTCTGCGAGTAGTGGAGCGCGCTCGTCCAGAGTTGGAGACTTCACAGCGATGCCCAGATCTCCGACGACGTGATGTTTGCAATCCGCGGGCCCCGCAGAGGTCGTCTTGACCCCCCCCCCCGGAGGACACTTTGTCCGCCCCGGGCCCACAGTTGACGGCCCCAGGCGCGCAAAGGGGGCCCACGGAGTCGTAATGGGGGAGGCGATGACTGGGTGGGCAGCGGGGGCTGCAGGACAGGAGTCCCTTGAGGGCCCCTCAAAGGGGCCCTTAGGGCCCAGGACGGGCTCCAAGGGCCCGAGAAAGGGGCCCTTTCCCCCCTCTCCCATTGATCGCTCCCCCTGAGTGCGCGCCCACTGGAGGCCGAAACCGGCGGAGAAGACGATGGGATTTGCAAGAACCACGACGTCGGCGGAGATCTGCGGGCATGCAGCGGGTCCCGAGGGCAACGGACGGGCCTTGAATCCAGAAGGGATTCTCCCCAGGAACGTGTTTTTTCCCTCACCCCTGGGTGGCTATTTGGCATCCTGGTGGCCCGAGGAGGGCCCAGGGGAGTCCAAAGACGGCGAACAGCCTCTCCCTCGTCGTCGTCCTCCTCCTCCTCCTCCTCCTCCTTCTTCCCCCCTCCCCCTCCGCCCACTCCTGCAGCTTCTCCTCTTCCTCTGGAGGCCCTTTCCTTCAATGGCGAATCCTGAGAGGGTGCCAGCGCGACCACAGACCTAGACGCAACGCGGCTGCCACGAAAATGCGTGTCAAACGGTCGCCAGGCAATCTGGAAATTTCGCCAGGCAACCTGGGGAAACGCCCCGCGAGCCGTCCTGCGAGAGGCAGACTCGTGAAGTGAACCGTACCCGAAATACACGACCGCGAGAATCAGGAGGGGAAAAAACACAGACACAATTAATCCTCGATTCCCAAGAAAATATGCGAAAATATGGGAATTGGGCGGGAAGACAAAAACCCAGAAATTCGGGTCTTCGGGTTGGGTTGGGGTGGTCTGGTAGGTAGTCACTATTGACTTCGTATGTCAATGCTCTGCAGTTGTGGCGAAGGTGCGTAGGTGTAGGCGCCCTATGAGCGAGGCCATTGCCGCACACCTGGTCTATGAAGCTCCTCGTGTGGGGGGGGGGCAGGGGCCGCTCTTCATGCGTGCAACCTGTACCACCCATGAGGAGCCCAGGCCCCGCCGCCGACCTCCCCGGGAGGCGTTCCAACCCTTCCGAGGGCCACATTGCCATAGGAGTGTGGAAGGCATGGGCCGCGAAACACAGTGCGCAAGGGGTCCCTCCTCTGGCACGGGCGACCTACTCATCGACCTCGACTGTACCTCTGCAGGTCAGACTTCTGCACACCAGCGCGGGGCTCTGGATCTGACTGATGTCTGCAGCCAAGTGGCACCCAGCGGAGGCGTTCCCCGCGCACGCGCGGGACGGTACCGGCGCTCGCTCGCTCGCACCCTCGGCGGCAGTGCGGCGACGCCGCCCGCGGCAGTTGGGCCAGAGCTCTGCGTGCAGCGTCTCGCGGGGGGGTGCCCGCCTCGGCTTCCGGGGGCGGCCTCGCTTTGCGGGGGTGCCCGGCGCCCAGGTTTTGCACAGAGGTCGCTTGCTCCTCCTCCTCCTCCTCCTCCTCCTCCTCCTCCTCCTCCTCCTCCTCCCCCTCCTCCGCCTCCTCCGCCTCCCCCTCCTCCTCCGCCGCCGCCTCATTCCTCCTCCTCTTCCTCCGCCTCCTCCCCCGTTCTCTCCTCCTCCTCCTGCTCCTCCTCCTCCGCCTCCTCCGCCGCCTCCTCCTCCTCCCACGCGTCGGAGGGCGCCACGTGCGGGCTTGCACCCATCCCGGCGCCGCGCCGGCAGGGCAGGGAGGGCGCCGCCACCGCTCCTGGGCCCCCCTGGGCGGGCCTGGCCAGGATGGGTGCAGGCGCTCAGCTTCAGTACCCTTTCAGCGGTGCCCGTCCCCATCCCCGTCCCCTTCGAGACCCCCACCAGATCACCACCCCGGTTGGGGATGTGCACCCCTCGACACCCGAAGGGAACGTGTCCCCGTCCAGGGGGGCATCTCGGCCAGTGGGGCCCAGGCCACGCTGCTGGGGATGGGGATCGGTGAAACGATACTCATAGCTGGTGCCGTCCTGTATGGGCTGTGGAAGTCACGGCCGGGGTCATGGCATCTTCGGAGGTCAGGACACAGATAAACCAGGACACGGAAGGCCAAGGAAACGGCACCCTTTCCTGCAAAGCCACATGTTTCAGCACCCGTGTTTTTTCTGTTTGTTGCACTTCAGGATTCGGGTCTGTGTCCGGGTTCAGGGGGGTCTTGCAGGTTTTTAGGCTTGTGCCTGGGTTTCTTTTGGACATGTTGCAGTGCAGAATTTTGATCGTGTCACCGTCTGGAAAAATTGGTTTCGAGGGATGTTGGGTGTCTGGGTCTAGCGTGACTTAGTAGATGGGGCCCTGAAGATTTCAATGCTCCCTTCTCTTCCAGCAGTTAGCGACGAGGAACCGACCGCTTCGATGGTTGTTGCGACGCCCAGGTATGAGGGTCGGATGCAGGGACTGACTTTTCCAACACGGGTTACCCAGAAACACCCTTTCCCCAGGATCGTGTTTTCATCCCTGGCAGTTTTTCCCAACCATCCTGTGGTGTTGGGTTCTCGTTTTGGAGAGAGAGAGAGAGAGAGAGAGAGAGCGCCCCGCGTTCCTTCACCTCCTCCTCCTCCTCCTCCTCCTCCTCCTCCTCCTCCTCCCTCCTCCCATTCCCGTGCATCATCCGGCACTCCCCTTGCACATTTCGTGGCTCCATAGGGAGCTCCACAAAGGCACTGGCGGCAGGGTCCTCATGGTGGCCCCGCACCAGATCCAGCACATCCCTTATACGTTTCGTGACCCCTTTTCAGGAAGTCCACGGAGGGCCTCAGCGGCAGGGTCCGCACGGCGGCCCCGCACCCGAGTCGGCACACCCCTCACACGTTTCGTGGCCCCACGAGGAGCTCCACCGGAGGCCCCAGTGGCAGGGTCCGCATGGCGGCCCCGCACTCATGTGGGCACAGCCCTCACATGTTTCGTGGCCCCAAGGGAGCTCCACCGGAGGCCCCAGCGGCAGGGTCCGCATGGCGGCCCCGCATCCGATTCAGCACACTCCTGTTTTATTTCGCGGCCCCATAGGGAGTTCCACCGAAGGCCCCAGCGGCAGGGTCCGCATTGCGGCCCCGTTCTATTTGGGCACACCCCTCACACGTTTCGCGGCCCCATCAGGAATTCCACGGAAGGCCTCAGCGGCAGGGTCCGCATGGCGGCCCCGCAGCCGAGTCGGCACACCCCTCACACGTTTCGTGGCCCCACAAGGAGCTCCACCGAAGGCCCCAGGGGCAGGGTCCTCATGGCGGCCCCTCATCCGATTCGGCACATTCCTCAAACGTTTCGCAGCCCTGTGAGGAGCCAGCGGCAGGGTCCGCATGGCGGCCCCGCACCCGTGTCGGCACACGTTTCACACGTTTCGTGGCCCAGTAGGGAGCTCCACCGGATGCCCCAGCGGCAGGGTCCGCATGACGGCCCCGCACCCATGTCGGCACACCCCTCACACTGTTCGTGGCCCGATGAGGCCCCATCGGCAGGGTCCGCATGTTGGCCCCGCATCCATGTCGGCACTTGCCCGATGAGGCCCCAGCGGCAGGGTCCGCGTGGCGGCCCCGCACTCATTTCGGCACACGCCTCACACGTTTCGTTTCCCCACAGGGACCTGCCACTGCTTCGTCCCACGTGCCTTGCGGCACTCGCACCCGCAAATTGTCGGGCCCTTCGCCTGGAGAACTTTTGGATTGCCCCGGGACAGGCCTTTCCAGCGGCCAGAAGACGGGGGCAGGCCAGCCGCCTCGATCTCTTCGGGGCCCGGGAGGCCCCGGGCGAGATCTGTGCTTCCACCCCGGGAGTGGCCTTGTGGGACAGACTCGGCCAGGGACATGCTCGGCTGGGCGAGACTCGGCCAGGCCGGCTTCGGCCTGGCCGAGGCCAGCCCGGCGGAGTGCAGCCTGGCCGAGTGCAGCCCGGCCGAGCTGCTCCAGGGCGAGCTCGGGTGCCGCCGCGCGCCCCCGGCCCCCCCTCCCTCCGCCTGCCGCGCCCGGGCAGGGCCGGGGCGGCCTCGGCGGTGGCGGGTCTCCTCGCCGCGCTGCCGGGCGCGCGCGGCGGCGAGAGCGCGGGCGAGTGCCTGGACGTGGAGGAGCCTCTCCGGGCCTCCTCGACGGGGTCCGAGTAATTAGATGGGGTCGGAGGATCCCGCCGTGTCGTCGATGCATCGCCGATGCGGCGCGACGTGGAGCCCGGTTGCCTCCACGCCGACGTCGCTGACGCATCGCCGACGTCGCCGATGCACCGTCGGTGCATCGTCGGTGCATCGGTGATGCATCGGCGATGCGGCGCGATCCTCCGACCCCATCTGAACGGACCCCACATAGGAGGCCTCTAGATACGGGATTCAGGAGGGAGAGAGGGAGAAAGGGCATGCATCACCCTGCAGCTGCGGATATAGGAGTGAGGGGGCGGGCGCGGGGTGGGTTGCGGGTGGGTCGCGGGGTGGGTCGCGGGGGGGGGTCGCGGGGTGGTTCGCGGGGTGGGTCGCGGGGGGGTAGCGGGCGAGGATGACAACAACAACATAAACAACACAACCACCATCAACAACACCACCACCAACAACACTAGTAACAACAACATGAACACCAACAGCAGCAACAGCAGCAACAACACCAACATCAACGACAATCAGTTTAAGACTGTTCGCTTCTCTCTGCTTGCGTGCCACTCAACACGTATATCCCGCACCCTCGGTACTCGCCCTCTTTGTCTTCGATCGTATCCCCTAGAACAGGGGAAGATAAGACGGATGGCAGGGGGAGGGAGAAGGACGGAGCACGAGAGAAATTTGCAGGATGGGGTCCAGGAGCAGAAAACACGTGGCAGAGCCAGACGGCCAGACCGGGCGGGCAGACCCACGACAACAGCACCACCACCACCAACAGCAGCAGCAGCAGCAAAAGCAACAGCAATAACACCACCGCCAACAACAGCAGCAGCAGCAACAATCACAGCATCAAGAGCAACAACACCACCACCACCAACAATACAACCAACGGCAGCAACAGCAATACACCACCACCAACAACAACACACATCACCAAAACCAGCAACAACAGCAGTCGCAACACGAAACACATCACCAACATCATCAACAACAACATCATCACTACTCATGTTAAGACTGTTCGCTCCTATCTGCTCGCGTGCCATTCAACACGTATGCCCCCAAACCCTCGGCACCCGCTCTCTTCGTCTTCGATCATACCCCCTTTGGGGTATACTCTCTTCACCTCTCACGTGAATTTAGCGCAACGGCTTCGAACAGAGGAAGGGAGGACGGATGGAAGAGGGAGGGAGAAGGATAGAGCACGAGCAAAAATCAGCAGGAGGGGGGCTGGGAGCAGTAATCACGTGGTGGAATCCGACGGGCAGATCAGGCGGGCAGACCCTGGCGGGCGGGTCGGGAACGCGGGCCCAGGCGGCCAGGTTGAGCAAGCGGGTTGCTGAAGCGTGGGTCCTGCATGAATAGGGAGGCAGTCTCGAGCGATAGCACGATTCCAAAGTACATCGCAAGAACAGCTAAAGCGAGAGCGTGCTTCCTGAGTGTCGAGGGCGCGGCGTCATCATCTACTGTGAAGAAGCCCCATGCGAGAGCGCCAGATTGGAGGTCAGGAGGTTCCGCGCGAGAGCGCGATTTTTGAACACATTGTGAGGAGGTATCCAGCGGGAGCCGTTGTTGTTGTTGTTGTTGTTGTTGTTGCTGTTGTTGTTGTTGTTGTTGTTGTTGTTGTTGTTGTTGTTGTTGTTGTTATGGTTGTTGTTTTGTTGTTGTTGTTGTTGTTGTTGTTGTTGTGTTGTTGTTGTTGTTGTTGCTGTTGCTGGTGCTGTTGCTGCTGCTGCTGTTGTTGTTGCTGTTGTTGTTGCTGATGCTGTTGTTGTTGTTGTGTTGTTTTTGTTGATGCTGTTGTTGTTGCTGTTGTTATTGTTGTTGTTATTGTTATTGTCGCTGTTGCTGATGTTGTTGATGTTGCTGCTGTTGTTGTTGTTGTTGTTGTTGCCGTCGTCGTTGTTGTTGCTGTTGTTGTAGTTCGGGACCCGACAAGCTAGTTTGAGCAGGATCTGTTTCCATGATAAAAAAGAGGGTGCGCTCCCCAAGGGGAGCACCTCACTTGAAAAACATAATGTGCTCTGGTGAGGGGGGATCGGCACCAAGGATCCTTCAAGCACGAGAGGTCATCAACAACAACCCCAGCAACAACAACAATCACCTTGCGACTGTTCGCTTTTATCTGCCCGACTGCCGCTCAACACGTCTACCCCGAAACCTCGGTCCCCGCCCTCTTCGTCTTCGACCGTAACTCCCCCCCCCTCGGGGGGCTATCTCCCCTACTTGCCGCGCACAGCTGGCGCAGCCCCTGACGCGGAGGACGAGAGGGAGGACGGAGGGAAGGTGCGTGGGGGTGGCGGAGGAGGCGGCGGCGCGGAGGAGGAGGAGGAGGAGGAGGAGGGGGAGGGGGCGGAGGAGGAGGGAGCAGGAGGAGGAGGAGGAGGAGGAGGAGGAGGAGGAGGAGGAGGAGGAGGAGGAGGAGGAGGAGGAGGAGGATGGAGGGAGAGGGGTGGAGAGCACGAGGGAGATGGGCAGGCGGGAGGCTCCGGGGGAGAGAGGCACGAGCGGCAGAACCGCACGGGCGCGGCGGGCGGGCGGGCCCCGGCGGGCGGGCCCAGGCGGGCGGGCCTCGTCGGCGGTATCGAGCGGGCGGATCGCTGAAGCCTTGCTCCAGCACGAGCCGCGAGGATGTCTCGATCGAGGTGCGGCTCTCAGTGTACATCGTGAGGAAGGCCAGAGCGAGAGCGTTATTCCAGGGTGTCGTGGGTGCGGCGTGTGAGCAAATTGCGAGGAGGTCTCTTGCGAGAGCGCGCTTTCTGCATCACTTTGAGAAAGTCCCGCGCGAGAGCGCGAGTTTGAATACACTGTGAGGAAGTGCCAGGCGGGAGTCGCTGTTGCATGTCAACTGTTGTACAAGTATTGAACTTCACTTCGATTGCTGTTCGGTCGCTGTTCGGTCGCTGTCAGTTTCAATCCTGAGGGTGTCGACTCAGGGACGCGGCTGATTGGATTGAGCGGAGGGCCATCGTACACGCGGTGGCTTTGCGCGATAATGAAAGTAGACAATTATTATTGTTGGACCCCCTGCATGCGCTTAGGCGCTTCCGCCTCGGCGCCGGCTGCATTTCCTTTGAAATTGAGGCTCACGAGATCGAGATCAAGCACGACTTTCTCCCTGCTCGCAGTTTCAGCTTCCAGGGGTCCTCTCGAGGCTCGGGGGCCAGAGAACGATCCGCGGCGCAGAGCTTGCCCCGGGGGCGGAGTCGAGGCCTCCGGGGACCTGGGGACCCTTTCACAAGACCGCGGCGCAGAGGATCTGGCTTGCAGCGCTCGCGTCGCTGTTCTTCTAAGTGATTGTGATGGCGGGGTTGGATCATGCGTTCGCGCTCTCCTGAAGTACGACAGACCCTAGCTTCCTACATTGTGCTCTCGTAGACGGGAATCTGGACCTATTGAGGTTTGGTTTGCTCCAAAGTTTGCAGGGCTCGGGCGCTCTGCTTCGGCTCGAACTCCCGATTGACACCAGAGCCAAGCTCTCCACATTGTGGCCTCGGAGTCTTGCCTGCACGACCAGTGCATGCTGGGAAGATCTTCTGCGGCGCACGATGCGAACGAGCACATTTCGACAGAGGTCTCAATGAGCCCAGCAGTGTGCCTGTGTGCATCGGTTGGCGCATAGTGTTTAGGGCAGGTGCGCTGACTTTGGCTCCAGCCTGCGCCCCCTCGTCGTCGTCGTTGTCCTTCTTCTGCTCAGGAGCCCGGCTTTGACGGTGGGAATCGACAGTGTTTTGGATATGACCCTGTCGGAATGGTCTGCGGCTGGGACGGCGATCCCAAGAGGGAAGCATATTGCGAGCTGGCCGAGAACGGCTTGAAGGTCACTGCATCTCTAGCAACGAACATACATCGGGCGGGTTCAATTTTGTAGGATGGTTGAGAACGGAGCAGTTGTAGCGGCACGGGCGCGAGGCACTTATGATGGGAAAGAGGTCGGCGTGATATGACATAGTGTACGTATGCCGTTACGCCGATAACGAAGAGCCCCTCTTCTGCATTCACCAAGTAACCCTTCCAGGAAGCCAGCCCCGTTGCTGAGCTTGTCCGCACGTGCCCGATGGGCCCGCGCGTGCCATGCCTGCCCGACGTTTCTGTATGATCATTTGCCCCGAAGCCGTCCCATGTACTTCGTGGCAGTTTGTTCTGGATTTCTTTTTCTCCCGCGCTCGGAACTTCCAACGTGGCGTGTGGAGGTCGGCTTGGATGGAAGATGTAGGAGAAATGACACAACCACCACCAGCCGGCCACCTCCAGGACGAGGGGACGAGGAGTAGTAGGAGGAGTTGGAGGACGAGGATGGGAGACGGATGATGAGGAGGAGGAGGAGGGTAAAACGAGGGAAGGATGATGATGCTCATGATGATGATGATGATGATGATGATGATGATGATGACGATGATGATGATACTGATGATGATGATGATACTGATGATGATGATGATACTGATGATGATGATGATGATGATGATGATGATGATGATGATGATGATGATGATGGTGATGATGCTCCTGCTGCTGATGATGATACTAATGATGAGGATGATTATGAGGATGAGGATGAGGACGAGGATGATTAGGAGGACTATGATGATGATGACGTCGTTGCTGATGACTGAAGTGATGATACTGATGCTGATTACGATCAGGATGGTGATGATGATGCTGATGATGAGGATGATGCTGATGCTGCTGATGATGATGCTGCTGACGATGATGACGATGATGATGCGGATGATGATGCAGAACATTTTGATGCTGGTGATGATGATGCTGATGCTGATGCTGATGATGCTGATGATGATTATGACGATGCTGATTATGCTGATGATTGTGTTGATGATGTTGATGATGCTCATTTCGATGATGATGATGCTGCTGATGATGATGATGATGACGATGCAGATGACGATGTTGATGATGATTCTGCTGATGCTGATGATGATGCTACATAAGGTGATGATGCTGATGCTGATGATGATGACGATGCTGATGCTGCTGCTGATGATGACGATGCTGCTGCTGGTGATGATGCTGATGATGATGATGCTCATGCCGATGATGCTGATGGTGATGATGATGCTGATGATGAGGATGATGAGGAAGATGAGGATGATGAGGGTGATGATGATGATGAGGATGATGATTATGATGCTGATGATGATGATTATGCTGATGCTGCTGATGATGATGATGATGATGCTGCTGATGATGATGATAATAATGATGATGATCAGGAGGAGGATGAGGATGAGGATGAGGATGATGACGAGGGAAATAATGATAATACTTATGATAATGGTGATGGCGATGGTGATGGTGATGGTGGTGGTGATGGTGATGGTGATGGTGATGGTGATGATGATGATGATGATGATGATGATGATGATGATGATGATGATGATGATGATGATGATGATGATGATGATGATGATGATGATGATGATGATGATGATGAGGAGGAGGAGGAGGAGGAGGAGGAGGCGAGGAGGAGGAGGGATCCTTTTCAGAGCGTTTTGGAATGCTCTTAGAGCGTCCCGGAGCGCTCCGCTCAGGCCGAAATGCCCGAGGCATCCTCCCCATCCGCCGGGTCTCAGACATTCTCGATTCGTCCTCACCCGAATTTATCCTCGTCCTGGCTTCGCCTCAGATCTCCTACGGCAAGGTTCATGATCGTATGATGTTATGAAAACCTCCTGCTCCTTCGTCGACGGATTGTTTCATCACGTCGACCCCCAGAGTTCTCGACCCATTCCTTGGGAACGTTTCTTTCACGGTCCCGAGGCCCCGTGAGGGCCCCCGAAAGCCGAACACGGCGAAACGCCGCCCGTCGAGATTTTTTCATGACCTGAGGCGGTCTGGGGGATCGAGCCCCCAGATCTCCAAGGGCGCCCTCGAGGGCGCTAAGTTATTCGCGCTTCTCGCTTCGCGCTTCGGCTCCGATTCCTCCTCATCCTCCTCTTCTCCCCTGGGAGGCGGCGCGAGAGCGCGAAGTTCATCGCACTTCGCGCTTCGTGCAGTGCGAAGCGCGAAGCTGGAAGCTCTTGGATCTCCTGCAGCAGGATCTCTGCTCGCGTGGCGCCGACGTGACGCGACCAGAGAGCGCGAGCCCTCCTCCGAGAGGTCTGCGCCCGCCGTCGGGGGGGCGGCCGCTGCGCCGCCCCCGACAACGTGCCGAGGACGGCGAAGACGCACGACCGGGAGCTGTGAGCTTCGCAGCCTCCAGGGGCTCAGAGGAGGAAAAGGTGCCTCCTCCTCCTCCTCCTCGGAGGCGGAAGAGGTACCCATACCTCTACCCCCTCGCCCGTTTTCCCCTTTTTGGGCCTCCTGGGAGGCCCTCGTCGGCACCGCTGGATTCGCCTCGAAATTCTGGTCAGAACGCACCCTGGGAGAGGTCCGTGGAGTAGCGGTATCGGTACCTTTTGGTCTCCCCTCCTCCGCCTCCTCCTTCTCCGAATTCGTATCGTTGTCGGGCTGGCGTGCGCTGTCGTCGGTGGGCCTTGCTCGTGTCGCCGCCCGTTCAGCGTCGCTTCTCTGAGCGTTTCAGCCACTGTGCAATGAATCTCGTCATAGGCTTGATCACCGACATTCGAACAGTCGCTTCTGTGAGTCGTTATTATTATTGTTACCCCCCCCATCCTGCTCCTCCACCTCCTCCTCCTCCTCCTCCTCCTCCTCGCCTCCTCGTCCTCCTCCCCCTCCTCCTCCTCCTCTTCCTCCTCCTCCTCTCCTCCTCCTCCTCCTCCTCCTCCTCCTCCTCCTCCTCCTCCTCCGCCAGCGATCTTGGGAGCCCGACGCGACACGCACGCGATGGGACGAGCATCGAGACCTCCTGCGGGCGAGGCCCTGCCAACCACCGGTTCCGCCGCTCCTTTTTGCACCGCAGCACGCTCTACTTCCGCATCGTCTGGACGACCAGTGCGGGACCATGATGGCCAAGCTGACGGAGGCGACCTCGGAGCAGCATCCTCCCGTTAATTAGCCACCTGATGAGCCCAGCGCCAGCGTCGACCTGAACGACTACCCGAACCCGACTGACGCGGACCTCCAGATGATGGAAGGCAATCGCGATGCAGCTCACACGGAAGAGCTGGATGCGATCGAGGGCGGTGCCACCCAGTATGAAGACGACACGATGTCTGCCGAGTGTTATTTCGGAGACTCTGCCATCTTCAGCAGCAGCGATGACAATGACGGCCCCGACATGGACTTGGACCACCTCGCGGGCCTCGCGATCGATGCCAGCCGTGCCGCTGGCAACACATCGGACGACATCCAGCCTCATCCCGACGCTGCGCCTTCTCGCCACCCTGGCCCCCCCTCTCGACCACATCGTCGACCGCGACTACGGTGACAGCGGTGTTGGCAGCTCGTCTGCGCCTGCCGGCCCCGACGGCCCAGACGCGCATGGCCACGCGCCCCCCCAGTGGCGCAGCAGGGCGCTGGGGCTGCGCACCACGTCCCGCTGGGGCGGCGCGGGGCTCCGGCCCCATTGCCTCCCGACGACCAGTCGGGGGCCCCCCAACGGGGTGGTGACGACACCGAGCGGTGAGTCTCTGTGTGTGTTCGGGGTCACCGCACGGTTTTGGGACTCGGCGTCGTTCCCTGAGGACGTCTCGGGCGGCAGGGGCCTCCCGGGGTCCCCAGACCGTGCGGTGACGGGCCGTGCGGTGAGGTCTCGGTGGGAATTCGAGGTCACCGCACGGTCTGTCACCGCACCGTTGCGGGACTCCCAAAACCAGCCGGGCCCCACGTCGATCGGGGGCGCCGACGCTCCGCCAGCACCTCCGTCTGCCGATTCGGACGAGTTCGAAGCCAAGCTCGCTGCGCACGGGCTCACGGCATGTTGCCGTGAGCGGGAGGGGTGGGGGCCCTCATCTCGTCGCCTCGGCCCTGCGGGAGCGTCTGCACCCACGGCGGCCGAGGCTGGCGGAGGTGCAGAGTGCTCGGGGCCCGTGGCAGGTGAGGTAGCTGGCCCAGCGACATCATCGCGAGGTGCTGCCCTCGCACGTCGAACCTGCCAAGCTGCACGGCTACCTGAACAAGCTCTGGGCCTTCCTGTTGCCTCCAGGTCACCTGGAGCAGTGACGGAGGCGGGGGCCTCCCCCGCGACCTCACAGGTGCGAGCTGACGACGAACGCGACGCGCATCCACATGTACGGACTCTGGCTGCTCCCACTGTCTCTATGTCGCTTGGGGATGCGACGGAGGTGGGGGTCCCCCCCGCGACCTCACATGAGCAAGATGCGGACACACAAGACACTCCTCCACAAGCGCTTCCTCTGGCTCCTCTCACTGTCTCTCTGCCGCTGGGGATCGCAACGGGGTGGGGGCTTCCTCTGCGACCCCACACGTCTAAGCAGCCGATTCGCAATATGCCCTTCAACCTGCACTGGTACTGGGGCAAGACACTGTCCATATGTCGCCTGGTCCTGCGCCGGAGGTGATGGCCTTCCCCGCGACTTCGCCTGTCGTGGCGGTGGCAGCACGGGCAGCCGACGTGATGATGGAGACAGAGGTCCCCGTAGAGGAGATACACAACATCGAGCAGATTGCCCACGGCACCGACACGAACAGTGCGGCAGCCCACCGCAACAACGGCGGCGAGACGCGGACACACGAGGACACCGTCCTCGACCCTGCTGGCCTCCTGCCAGCGGACTCACAGTTCGATTGCGACGAGGACGGCATCGCCGTCGACCTCGACATCTCGCAGGCGCCCGCCGGCGAAGCGCTGAGATGCGGGCCCCGCCGCGGCCGCGGCTGCGATGCCTAAAGCAGCTGGGAGAACCTTCGCTCTGGGGTCTCTCGCTCCTCCTCCTCCTCCTCCTCCTCCTCTTCTTCCTCCTCCTCCTCCTCCCCCTCCTCCTCCTCCCCCTCCTCCACCTCATCCGCCCCCTCCTCCTCCTCCTCCTGCTTCTCCTCCTCCTCCTCCTTCTGCTCCTCGTCCTCCTCTTCCTCCTTTCCATCCCCCTGCTTCTCCTCCTCGCTCTTCTCCTCCATCCCTTCTCCTTATAAGTAATTTCTCCCTGTTGCACCCCGAGGCCAGTGCTGGGCGTTTCGCCTGAGACTTCATCACCATTTCTCATGTTGAAGCTTAAAGTTGGCAGCAGTTTTGTTGATGGAGGGCGGGTCGTTTTCAACATGTGGCTCTTGCATCAGCGTTGTGCACATTCGGTGTAAAAACTTTGCAACAGTTTTGAGGACGAGTCGTTTTCAAAATGTGGCTCTCGCTTTGGAGCCGGGCAAGAGTTTGACGGATTGAGGGCGAGTGGTTGTCCAAGTGTGGCTCACGCCTTAGCGC